TTCCTTAAAAACTACTGGTGTTATTAACATAATTTATGTCTTAGTGACTATGTCCTTTGCTTTACAGAAGCTTCTCAGTTTAAGTAGGTCCCATTTATTCAATGTTGCCCTTAATGTCTGTGCTTCTGGGGTTATACATAGGAAGCGATCTCCTGTGCCCATCTCCTGTAGGGTACTTCCCACTTTCTCTTCTATCAGGTTCAGTGTGTTCGGGCTGATATTGAGGTCTTTAATCCATTTGGACTTGAGTTTTGTGCACGGTGATAGATAAGGGTCTATTTTCATTCTTCTACAGGATGACATCCAGTTGTGCCAGCACCATTTGTTGAAGATGCTTTCTTTCTTCCATTGTATACTTTTAGCTCCTTTATCAAAAATGAGGTGTTCATAGGTTTGTGGGATAAAATCCGGGTCTTCTATACGATTCCATTGGTCGACTTCTCTGTTTTTATGCCAGTACCACACTGTTTTCATTACTGTAGCTCTGTAATAGAGTTTGAAGTCAGGGATGGTAATGCCTCCAGAAGATCCTTTATTGTATAGGATTGTTTTGGCTATCCTGGGTTTTTTGTTTTTCCATATAAAGTTGATTATTGTCCTCTCCAGATCTGTGAAGAATTTTGATGGGATCTTGATGGGGATTGCATTGAATCTATAAATTGCCTTTGGTAGAATTGCCATTTTTACTATGTTGATCCTCCCAATCCAAGAGCAAGGGAGGTCCATCCATTTTTTGGTATCCTCTTCAATTTCTTTCTTCAAGGACTTAAAGTTCTTGTCAAATAGATCTTTCACTTCCTTGGTTAGATGTACCCCAAGATATTTTATGCTGTTTTTGGCTATTGTGAATGGTGAAGCTTCTCTGATTTCCCTCTCTGCTTCCATATCCTTTGTGTATAAGAGGGCAACTGATTTTTTGGAGTTGATCTTGTATCCTGCCACATTACTAAAGCTGTTTATCAGCTGTAAAAGTTCTTTGGTGGAGTTTTTGGGGTCGCTTATGTACACTATCATATCATCTGCAAATAACGAAAATTTAACTTCTTCCTTTCCAATTCGAATCCCCTTGATTCCATTATGTTGTCTTATTGCTATTGCTAGAACTTCAAGCACTATATTGAAGAGGTATGGCGAGAGTGGACAGCCTTGTCGTGTTCCTGAGTTAAGTGGGATGGCTTTGAGTTTCTCTCCGTTTAATTTGATGTTGGCTGTCGGCTTGCTGTATATAGCTTTTATTATATTTAGGTATGACCCTTGTATCCCTAATCTCTCCAAGACTTTTAACATAAATGGATGTGGAATTGTGTCAAATGCTTTTTCAGCATCTAATCCTTTCATCAAAATAGGATAGATAGATAGATAGATAGATAGATGATAGATAGATAGATAGATAGATAGATAGATAGATAGATAGAAGAGAGAGAGAAACAGAGACAGAGAGAGAGGTCTATATATAAAAAATTCCTAGTGCTATCCTCCAGAAGTAATCACTCATTTTGTTGAATATTCTTGCAGATTGTTTTCTCTACTTATTCTGAGCTGTCTATCTGGACTATAATGTCTTGGAACTAGTTTAACTTAAGTTCCTATTCTAAACGAAATAGTCACAATTCAAGCTCAATGGTAAACATTTAATTAAAGTGAAAAAAAATCCTAACCATCATATTTGTAAATTCTGAAAATGCTTCATTTTATTTCAGTTTCATTTCTTGCTTCTGCTAGGATGCTTCTGTCTTATTATATGTAAATTTCAGTATGAGCAAGAATTGTAGTATATTAAGTTGAGGCATACAGAAGGATCAATTTACCACATTTCACATTTATATTCAATTTTATTGAGCAACAGAATGAGACTTACGTAAGCAAATTCTTTCTTTTTCTTGGTGGATACAGGCAAGAGCTATTCTACTAGAACAAACTCAAGTCTATTTACATCTGAATAAGTACAATAAGCCAATGGTCAGAAGCATCTTAACAGAAAAGGGAAATGCACATTCCAAGCGTAAATCTGGGAGTCTTAGCTCTGCTACCAACAAAGCACAGCATTTAATTAAAAGAACTGTGAGACACACAGAAAAAAACAAGTACAGTTATATATTTTAAAGAGATAACCAACTAGATGTGTGACTAGAAGACAGGCTTAGAATGATCAGAAATCATTTAAAATTCTTGTCAAGTAGATCTTTCACTTCCTTGGTCAGGGTTACCCCAAGGTATTTTATGCTATTTGTGGCTATCGTGAAAGGTGATGCTTCTCTGATTTCCCTCTCTGCTTCCTTATCCTTAGTGTATAGGAAGGCAACTGATTTTTTGGAGTTGATCTTGTATCCTGCCACATTACTAAAGCTGTTTATCAGCTGTAGGAGTTCTTTGGTAGAATTTTTGGGGTCGCTTATGTACACTATCATATCATCTGCAAATAACGAAAGCTTAACTTCTTCCTTTCCAATACGAATCCCCTTGATCTCCTTATGTTGTCTTATTGCTATTGCTAGAATTTCAAGCACTATATTGAAGAGGTATGGAGAGAGTGGACATCCTTGTCGTGTTCCTGATTTAAGTGGGATGGCTTTGAGTTTTTCTCCGTTTAATTTAATGTTAGCTGTTGGCTTGCTGTAAATAGCTTTTATTATATTTAGGTAAGACCCTTGTATCCCTATTCTCTCCAAGACCTTTATCATAAAGGGGTGTTGAATTTTGTCGAATGCTTTTTCAGCATCTAGTGAAATGATCATATGGTTTTTTTCTTTCAGTTTATTTATATGGTGGATTACATTGATAGATTTGCGTATGTTGAACCAGCCCTGCATCTCTGGGATGAAGCCTACTTGATCATAATGGATAATTTTTCTTATGTGTTCTTGGATTCGGTTTGCCAGTATTTTATTGAAAATTTTTGCGTCGATGTTCATGAGTGAGATCGGTCTGTAATTCTCTTTCTTGGTTGGGTCTTTTTGTGGTTTTGGTATCAGGGTAACTGTAGCTTCATAAAAGGAATTTGGCAATGACTCTTCTGATTCTATATTGTGAAATACATTAAGGAGTATAGGTATTAGTTCTTCTTGGAAGTTCTGGTAAAATTCTGCATTGAAACCATCTGGTCCTGGGCTTTTTTTCGAAGGGAGATTTTTGATAACCATTTCTAATTCTTCGCGAGAAACCGGTCTATTTAGATCATTCACCTGGTCTTGGAACTAGACCGTAAAAGGCTAATCAACCCAATTATAAAGTGGGGCACTGATCTGAACAGAGAATTCTCAACAGAAGAACTTCAAATGGCCAAAAGACACTTAAGGTCATGCTCAACTTCCTTAGCGATCAGGGAAATGCAAATCAAGACAACTTTAAGATACCACCTTACACCTGTCAGAATGGCTAAAATAAAAAACACCAATGATAGCCTTTGCTGGAGAGGTTGTGGAGAAAGGGGTACACTCACCCATTGCTGGTGGGAATGCAAACTTGTGCAACCACTCTGGAAAGCAGTGTTTCGGTTTCTCAGGAAATTCGGGATCAACCTACCCCTGGATCCAGCAATACCACTCTTGGGAATATACCCAAGAGAGGCCCTATCATACAACAAAAGTATATGCTCAACTATGTTCATGGCAGCATTGTTTGTAATAGCCAGAACCTGGAAACAACCTAGATGCCCTTCAACGGAAGAATGGATGAAGAAAGTATGGAATATATACATATTAGAGTATTACTCAGCAGTAAAAAACAAGGACTTCTTGAGTTTTGCATACAAATGGATGGAAATAGAAAACACTATCCTGAGTGAGGTAAGCCAGACCCAAAAAGAGGAACATGGGATGTACTCACTCATATTTGGTTTCTAGCCATAAATAAAGGACATTGAGCTTATAATTCATGTTCCTAGAGAAGCTAAATAAGAAGGTGAATCCAAAGACAAACACATAGGCATCCTCAGGAATATTAACCTTCATCAGGCGATGAAAGGAGACAGAGACAGAGACCCACACGGGAGCACCGGACAGAAATCTCAAGGTCCAAATCAGGAGCAGAAGGAGACGGAGCACGAGCAAGGAACTCAGGACCACGAGGGGTGCACCCACACACTAAGACAATGGGGATGTTCTATTGGGATCTCACCAAGGCCAGCTGGCCTAGGTCTGAAAAAACATGGGATAAATCCGGACTAGCTGAACATAGCGGACAATGAGGAATACTGAGAATTCAAGAACAATTGCAGTGGGTTTTTGATCCTACTGCACGTACTGGCTTTGTGGGAGCCTAGGCAGTTTGGATGCTCACCTTACGAGACCTGGATAGAGGTGGGCAGTCCTTGGGCTTCCCACAGGTCAGGGAACCCTGATTGCTCTTCGAGCAGATGAGGGAGGGGGAATTGATCGGGGGAGGGGGAGGGAAATGGGAAGCGGTTGTGGGGACGAGGCAGAAATCCTTAATAAATAAATAAATTTAAAAAAAATAAAAAATAAAAAAAAAAAGAAATCATTTAAAATTTCTAATTTTTCAATTGCTAAAATGATTTAAAAATCAGTATAATTGCTATTTAAGAATCCGGTGCAAAGTGAGCAATATTCACGGGCAGGTGTAGACTTTAAGGAAGAATTATTGAAATGGACAGAGCCAAACGGCAATTCTATGTATCAGAAGCACTGTATTGTGAAGGAGAATTTCTTTAATGAACATAACAAAAGATAAAATGTGCAGCTGGCAGAGAAAACAATCAGTAGAAACAAATCTATCTGTAAGTCAATGGCATGGTAGCTGGACCTATGACAAGGTTGATTATAATGTTACTGGGCTCCCAAAGAAGAAACATAGATGAAAGAGAACATGCAAATGGCCCACTTCCAGTACTGAGGAGTCACATTGCTCAAAGAGGACTACTCCATCCAGTCAAGAAATATGCGTTGTTTCTGATTTCTCACTGGGACTTTCTTTCTGTCCACCAACAGGAGAGATACACATGTGAGTTCAAGATATTGATCAGGTTAACACTGTGTAGGCAACGTAAAATACCTTAAGACAAATACGACAGTTAGACAGGGGCATTGGGTTTTATAACTACTGGATTGTCTCGAGTCCTTTAGTCTCTCGCTCCTTTGTGTCTTCAATGAGAAGCAGCAAGGAAAGGAAGTCCTTCCTTTGGTGGTTAGATTAATATACATTCATTATGTGGTCGTGGGTGATAGACCGTTTCTCTTGCTTTTTGAAGCTGTTCATTGATTTGTCTGAGTTGAGCGTCTTGTTCTGCCTTGATCCTCTCAATCTCTTTCTAAGAGGAAATAAACAGAATTGATGGAGTTTGACAAAAATAAATGACACCCAACTCTTTTCTCATTCATTAATCATTGGCTCATCCATACTTATACTACTCTATGGTATCAATAGACAATCCCTGAACAACTCTTCATCGGTATCTGTGCAACTACTTCTATCACTTTCCAACCTTTTTCTCTAGTTCCAGACACAGCTTCAGTCTCTGAAATGTTAGTGTCTCTAGAATTCCACCCCAACATGACCTTCCTCTTTAGACCAAAACATTACCTTGGCATCTCAGTCACCTATTCTCTTCAATTCTCTCACATTGGATATTGTCAGATATGTTTCTACAAGAAGAGTCTGTACACAGAGTGACAAGGTGCCATTCAGAGTGTCAAACGCAGCCATCTGAGTCCTGTCTAAGAAGTAGTGTCCATGTCACCACTCTTTGACTGATAGGAGTGATGGCCCTCTCTGTCTTTCATGAGAGCAAGGGAATATGAAAAATAAAGAGTAGTAGTTCCTGACAAAGCTAATACCCGTGGATATACTGGTAAGTCAGGGGATGGGTAGGGACAGTTTCATGAGTGGTGACTAGGAGTGTCATACTATCTCTGCAGAACCAACCATGTTTGAGATCCCGTTTGCAAGCCTGTGTGATACCAGTATTTGGGTTATTCTTGTGGGAATTCACTTAATTCACTTAAGGACACAGTAGTTCTGCTTCATGGTGACTAGAGATTGCACTAAAGTATAGAAAGAAGAGGCAATTTGCGTAAACACCCACTTAGTAAAAGGTGATACTTGGGATTGACATCCAGCAGTCTGACTTCAGGGTCTCTGCCCTGAGCTGCCCCATGCGACTACCTTTCCCCTTAGGCCATCATGCTGTCACCTTGACAGATGGGAGATTGAGTAGCTGAGTAACATCCAAGAGGAAACAGTTCAACAAGTACCTGGACCCTCTGTGCCCTGATCCTCTCTTGCTCTGCCTGGAAGTTTGCTCTGTCAATCTCCATTTGCCTCAGTTTCTCTTGATGCAGTCTCTCCTGCTCTGCTCTCTTTTGTTCTTCCTGGATTCGAATTGTCTCCAACCTCTTTGCTTCAGCCCTGGCAGCCGCTGCTCTTTCTTCTTCAGCTGAGGAGAAAAGAAAGTCAGTCACAAGTCTCTGCGGCCTCTCCTTGCAAATGCAGGCTGTGTTAACTTTCAACATCCTGTGCACCATGCATTGCTTCCATTTCCTTCTCACCTTTCCTCGCAATCTCCTTGGCTGTGAGAACCTGGTCTGTTTGTAGAATTGTATTGCTCAGTTGTTCTTTGGTCTTCAAATACTTCTGAAGCTCTTCCTCAGCCTGGGAACCCCAAAACATGCTGTTAGAACTAGGAAATGCTAATTTGTAAACCAAAAAATGTCTTTCTTTCTTTTCCCACTATCTTTCCCTCCTAGGGGATGCTAAGTCTGTACACGATGGGTGTGTCCATTAGTCTTCAGCCACGGGAATGATACTGCCTTTGCCAATCAGAGCACCCAGGGATGCTACACCTAACAAACTTACGTACAGGTGGCTAAACACTGAAATGTGGATGTTTTAAAAACTAATGTGGGTGCTGCAATCAATATGCTTACCCTCCTCTGAGGTATAAGTCTCTAAAGGCAAGCTAAACTAGGGCCATGTCAGAGACTTTTGGATTTTTTTTTTTTGTTTTGTTTTTGTCTTGTTTGTTTGGTTGGTTGGTTGAATTTTTTGGCAGGGGCGAGGGAGATTGCTTGAAAATGAAGTTAACAGGAAAATGAAGCAGGGGTTGGAAAGAAATAAATAGAAGGAAATGGATGACGTCACTTGAACTCTGGCATACTTGAAATAAAAACCATTTCAGACAGTCAATTGTTGGCTTTCCCTAAATTGGCTTCACTTATTGAGATTCTGACTTGCGTAATCCTAACGAGCCCCGCTGATGATCATAAACGCTGACGACTACAGCTGAAGTCTAGTGATGACAGCAATGGGTTGCTTTCGTCTACCGCTGCCATGGAAGTAGACATTCTCTGCTAGAACATCGAAGCCAAGTGCATTTCACCCAAAAGCAGAGTAACTCATGGGCAGAGACAGAGAGTACATCACTGCACCTGTACTGGGAACGAAGGATACCTGTATTCCCTTCCCTGGCTGCTGACGATACTGTGCCTTCAGCTGTTCCATCTTCTGAAGGAAAAGACTGTGGCCTCCTGGTTTAGCATAGATCCCCTGTGCCACTCCTCGTTCCAGAGGCTTAAAAATACTCTGAAGTAGGGTTGAGCAGTGTTCTGCAGAGGCTTCCTCATTCTTCTTACAAATCTCATTCTGCTTTCCACTTAGTAAGGTCTTTGAAAGGGGAAAAAAACATGAAAATGTTAGGTATACTTCAGTGCTCCTGGGAATTGTTTTTCAAAAGAATCTGCATTTTATTTCCTTTGAAACTTGGACAAACGTGTGTAAGATTATATCCTTATCAAAGCTGGAAAATTTGCAAGAAAATACTTTATGAGAAGTTATGTTTACTTGGCAGTTAGAAATGTTTTCCTTTCTAACAGCAGATATACTAAGTTGTTTCTTAAGGAACAGTGAGAAAGAACTTCTCTTATTATTGTTTTGTTTTGTTTCATTTTGGTGGGGTTTTTTTGTGACAGGATTTCTGTGTGAAGCCCTGGCTGTCCTAGAACTAGCTCTATAGACTAGGCTAGCCTTGAACTCACGGAGATCGTCCTGCCTCTGCCTCCTTAGTGCTGGGTTTAAAGGCATATATCACCACTGCCCAGCATGCTTGTATCTTTAATCTATTCATCTTGATATTTTCCTACATTTATGTAGTGAGGTTTACTCTTATTTACCCCACAAACTTTTCTTTTCTCCTCCATCTACTGAAACCCTTCTTATTCTCAGGAAGTCAGGAAGTCTCTCTCTCTCTCTCTCTCTCTCTCTCTCTCTCTCTCTCTCTCTCATGTGTGCGTGTGTGTGTGTTCCACAGAATTTAATTGAGGTTACTTGAAACTCTTTTCTCAAGATGCTATTTCCACTTTAGATGTGATTTTATGGTTTCAGAGCTCTCACTTGCACCATAATTTTAAATGTAACCAACTGTTTAATGATGTTTCTTTCAGAGTTTTCGACTTCTAGGTGTGTAAAATTGAGTCACTGGCTGCACTATCTGATAATTCTACTAACCCTACTTTCACTGTAGATGCCAAAGCAATTCTATCTAGTTGACCAATAAAAAGTAAATGCATTGTTAATGATTATTTTCTGTGAGGGGAAAAGAAATTCAAGGTTTTTTAATGGAGTGTGTGTGTGTGTGTGTGTGTGTGTGTGTGTGTGTGTGTTTGAAAATGTCAGGATCCTTGGGGCCATATTCTTTCAGACTTTCCTATTTTGCAAACTAACTCACATCAAAGCCACACAAGTGACTGTCATTTCTTTCCCATCTAGTGGAAACTGATTTTTTTTAATTAATCCTATTTTCCAGTTGTAGAATATTCTTGCCTTCTGTTGACTCTGATATCTACAAACAAATACAGAAAGTAAAGACCTCCAACTCCTTCTGGAAACATTGGTCCTCATCCTTGAAAGAATGCTTCTTGAAGATTTCCATGGCTTCGTTCCCACAGGTCCTGTGCAGGTCCAGCAGCTCCTGAAGGGTCTCTGTGGGCAGCTTCACCCTCTGGCTCATCTGCTGGTCATAGTGGGTGACAGCCTTTTGCAATGCAGCAGAGTTCTCTCTCTGGGCCAAGGCTACCACTGCATTCTGTATGCAGGGCAGAGCACCACTATTGATGGCATCGACGTAGGTCAGCACCAAGCTTTCTAGACCTTCAGAGAAGGAAGAGATGCTTGTATCATTTGCAGAAAAGGTTAATATGGAATCATTCTGAGAATGCTAATTATGTATTGCCTGCAGTTCTTCAGCGTTCTACATAGAATTCAAGTGGCCCAGAGAAGTTCTTTTGAAGAATTTTAAGATTAAGATGACAAGTAGTTATTTCTTTGAGGAAAAACATATAAAAATAACAAAAACCTAGTCAAATCTTTGTTGAAAGAAGAAAACAGAGGAATTCTTAAGACATATGTGATGATCTGTATTTTATCCTTCTCCACAGAGAAATAAGATGATCATATAAAAGTCATGAACACTCATCTCATTAACATGCTTTAGATTTTTGATTCTTTAAGCTTCCTATGCTTTTTCTCTCTCAGTTTTCTATTCTATTCATTTTTTTCCTTTTGCTTTATTTTATCATGGTTAAGGTGGTATGAGTTACTTTCCTCTGTAAATAGGATTCAGCAATCTAAACCTTATTCTTCATCAAAACTCCTGTGTTTTTCTTCCTTGTCAGCTTCTGCTTGGAAGTAATTCCTTTCACAATATTTGAAGTATTTGCCAAGTTCTAAAACATGGGGTTCTTAATATCAACTACATTAAATAGCATTTATATACACCTTTCAGGATTGTAAACAATATGGGATTACATTCAACAGCTGTACAAGTTTTGCAACAGAAAAATTCTGTTTCTACAGGGAACATGTATGTATTTATCTCACCTTATTTTATCTTATCTCATGCATATCAAATGCTATGTCACATAATAATAATATAATTAATATATTATGGAAATTTTGTCAACACACATGAGTTAATCAGTTTCTAGATAAATGGGTAAAACTTCTCTAATTGATGTCATCATTCTTAGGATTTTATATGATGCAACTTTGAGGTTTTAGTAAAACAACACTAGAGGTAAGCTTGGTATCTGTGATACGTTGGATTTCCTTCCCAGCAATGACTGACCAATTTATCAATCATCAACAAAAAAACTCTATGTGTCCTCAATTCTTTATGAGTTGGCATAAAGTCCTTTTAAAAAGTACTCACAAGGTCCATTGACTTGGATGCCTCCTGGGAGAGACTTGGTCTTCGAATGTATGAAGATGTGAGAACAGAATTCTGACAACTCCTGCACAAATTCAGGACTCAGCTCATCACTATTGAGTGTTTGAAGCTGGGAAAGTTTATTTCTCTTAGTGGGGAAATCAAAAGCAAAGCATTTCTTCACCGGGAAGAACTTCTGTATGCATAGTCGTGGCAGATTGAATATTTCAGTTCTTTCATCATTACCTGCAGAAGGAAATAAAGGATTTAACATAATATAATCTATATCCACTTTAAATAAATGTCCTTTCTCCTGATGTTGTATTAAACATAAAGAATAAAGACTAACTAGGAAAGGAAAGCAAAACAATTAGAGAAATTTCAATAACTGGAGACTAATAGAATTTTGTAAAAGGGTTAGGTGGGTAAATATGGAAAATTATATACTTAGTTGCCCATTTAAAAAAACAAGTTCTTGGAAACTTTTCTTTCTTTTTCCCAGACTGAAGTTCTGTTACCTTGTTTCAGCTTCAGCGAATTCTCCAGATACTCATCTAATGTGATGGCATGCCCATCTGTTTCCAGACTCAGGTAGAAATCTCTCAGAGTCCACACCAAGTCTGGAAAGAAGCTCACGTCAGCCGCTTCTTCACTTTCATTAAGGTCAGAGGAGTTTCTTGTCCGGAGAAGATCTGTCATTTCTGTCACATTGCTGAGACACAATTGAGGAAATTGGCAAAAGTGGGGCTGTATCTAATGCTTCCTTAAACCTCTTTTGCTCCCTTCTGCACTTAACTGAATTAACACCGCATTGGTGACATACTCGAGGGCTCGTTTCTTTGTGTTTCTACTCTGTATGATATTTTAATGTGTGTGTGTGTGTGTGTGTGTGTGTGTGTGTGTGTGGTAGAATATTATTTTAACTACGTAAAGGTGTGTTACATTTGTTTGTGCTGTGGAATATTGCTTTAATTGTGTAGAGCTGCTTTACTTTTGTTTATGTTGCATTTGTTTAATTATGTACAGAAGTGTTGCTTCTGTTTCATCTTGTCTAAGGTACCCGACTGGCTCAATAAGAAACTTAATGGCCAATAGCTAGGCAGGAAAGGGATAGGTGGGGCTTTCTGGCAGAGAGGAAAAATTCGGAGGAGAAATCCAGAAAGAAGAAAGGAAGAATAAGAGAGAAGAAGGAAGAGAGAATGAGGAACACACCTGGGACAAGAAGCCAAGCAGATGCCAGGCAGCAGACGTGAGAACCACTGAAAGTATACTATACAGAAGTAAGATAGGTAAAAAGCTCCAAGGCAAAAGGTAGATAAAGAGAAACAGGTTCATTCAAGTTAAAAGCGCTAGCCAGAAACATGCCTGAGCTATCCTGAGAAATCAAAACTAATAAGAAATCTTCTGTCATGATTTGGGAGCTTGTGGGTGGCCTAAAAAAACTGGTGTGTGTGTGTGTGTGTGTGTGTGTGTGTGTGTGTGTGTGTGATGGAGGTGGGTCATTTGTCTATGTGTTGCTTTCATTGGTTAATTAATAAAGAAACTGCTTGGCCTTTGATAGGACAGCAGCTTAGATAGGCGGAGTAGACAGAACAGAATGCTGGGAGGAAGAGGGAAGTGAGGCAGACGCTATAGCTTTCCTCTCCAAGATGGATGCAGGTTAAGAATCTTTCTGGTAAGCCACCACCTCGTTATTAGAAATGGGTTAATTAAGATGTGAGAGTTAGCCAGTAAGAGGCTAGAGCTAATAGGCCAAGCAGTGTTTAAGAGAATACAATTTGTGTGTTGTTATTTCGGGTATAAAGCTAGCTGGGCGGGAGCTGGGCGGGAACGCAGTCCGCCGCTCCATCTACATGTATGTGTGTGTGTATGTGTGCATGCAGTTTTGTGTGTGCAGATGTGCATATCTATTGAGGCCAGACGTTGGTATTGGATATCTTCTTCTAGTTCTCTCCACCTTGTGTTTTGAGACAGTCTCTTACTGAATGTGAGACTACCTGATTGGCTCTAGAGCTGACTAGGAAGCCCCAGGAGTCCTCCTGTCTTAGACTCCCCATACCTATTCCCAGTCTTGGAGTGACAGGTACACACTGCCTTGCCTGGCTTGCTAGTTATTTATTTATTTATTTATTTATTTATTTATTTGAGACATGGTGTCTCTGTAGTTTGGAGCCTGTCCTGGAACTAGCTCTTGTAGACCAGGCTGACCTCGAACTTACAGAGGACTGCCTGCCTCTGTCTCCCAAGTGCAAGGATTAAAGGAGTGCACCACCACTACCTGACTCCATGCCTGGATTTTTACATAGATGTTATGGATCCAAACTCCTGTCCTCATTCTTGGGTGACAAACATTTCTCTGATTGAGCCATCACCATTGCCCCTTTGTTTTAACTGTTATGAGTCCAAAAGTCTCATAGGTGAATAGATGGTGTGTTTTCTCCACTGTAGGACTGGTCTGGACCACAAAGGATACTGCAGTAGGTCGATAGCCCCCTGGTCAATTTTGCTCATGGTGTTGTATACAATGGTGCTACTGAGAAGGATTACCAGTGCGAAGATCTGAGTATCATTGTTTTTATTAATCTAGAACAGAAGAAAATTGAGCCACGCGTTGGGACATTCTTGGGTGAATATCACCAAAAATAAAATGTTAATATACAGATATTAAACAAAGAAAAATAATTTGCATGCTTTTCCCATTGGTAATTTTATACTACTGATTTATCATTCTATGCTAACTCACTAGTCTTTCCTCTAATCACGCTTAGATGGTTGCAAAATGAATAAGTTAGAAGGGCAACCAGAATACTTAAAAGTAAGGTTTTACAGGGGCAAAACAGACTGCCTTATATGCATGGTACATATATCTGTATTACTTATTACTACCCATAAGGTGGTCTCATTAACAATCTTATCTCATTCCAAGACAATGTGGAAGAATGAGTTTATAATAACTTTTCCTATGCTGCAGATTGAGTAAATCAAGTTCAAATTATGTCTTATCATCTGTGAATCTTGACAAAACAGAAATTTTAAAATGAAGAAAAAGCAAAAACAAAAACTTTTTCACACTGGACATTCAAGAGAAAGTTCTAGTAATGTCTAAGAACCAACTCATACTGGTTAAAAGGCATATCTCCCCAGGTCCAAATGGAACTCTACATTGGAAACTTGAAGTCAATAATAATGGGAATATTTAGGAAAAAGTAATGTGCTTTAGACTGAAGTGTTTTATTCATGGTGAGTGGTGTGTTAAATGCTTACCAGTATACAACTAGAAAATGCCAGTATGTCCACTGTTCACATAATTATTTGCGCAAGACAAACAGAAAAACATTTGGAGAGACATCTATTTTGTCAAAACTATGGAACTACAGGTACTACAGGCATGGTTTAGCAACTTGATTTAACCAGTAGCCAACTATTAGTCTACATTCTCTGTAGGACTGGGTTTGAAGCAGTGATTTAAATTCCACTATGCTTCAGTACTCAGGAAGTACTTAGTTCATCATCACTCTAGTACTCTCAGTATGGACTCTGCCTTATGAAGATATTTTCTCACTCCATGCATCCAGGTTCTGCCTATTAAAAATAAAGGGCAAAAGTGCTCTCAGGTCAACTGGAAATGCCAATTTTATGGGTGGTGAGAAGAGAAATTCCTGTACTAAGAGTATTTAGAGACCCGGGAAGATAAATCTAACCCAAACAGAAGCCTCTCTCCTTACCTTCTCGGTATCTCCCAGGCCCTCAGTGTCAAGCAGAACTAGGGTGTGGTCTGGCTTCTGGGGGTGAGGCACACACCACATCCAGATCCCCTTGGTGTGAGACTGCACAGTGGATCCCACAGAAAAGCCTGAGAGGCAAAGGGAGTGGAATTGAAGTAAGAAGGCATCTGGAAGTCGGGTGGTGGTGGCGCATACCTTCAATTCCAGCACTCAGGAAACAGAGGCAGGCTGATCTCTGTGAGTTCGAGGCCAGCCTGGTCTACAAAAGCTAATTCCAGTACAGGCTCCAAAACTACAGAGAAACCCTGTCTCAAAAAACAAAAAGATAACAAAGAGGGCATCTGGAATTCAGGAATTCCCTTGAGAATTTAAGCTAGGATGCAAGAGAAACAAATTGGCAAGACAGAAGAACAGACAATTGATGATATAATTAGAAGTAAAGTAATGGGCAAAGAGTATTAACGACTTAAAGTTGGCATCTGATGCTATTTTAAAAATACAATATTATACTCCTAAAAACTTAAGAGTTGGAATGTATTTCATTGGATTTATTTTGTTGAATTTATTTCATTGATGTCTTAGTTCTTATAAAGGTAATATATTTTACTTTTTCTGGGAAGATGTTGAGGAATAAACACATGCTAAGCCACAGACAGGGAGCTTCCCTTTAGCTACCAAAAGATGCAAACAGTGGTTGTGCCACAAACACAGAATCTAGACGGGTCCCCAAGTTTCTCTTTTCACACCCTAAGCTGGATGCTCACAGTATGGGTGGACAGAGGGGACTCAGCAAGCATTGTTGGTGTTGCTCACCTTTCTCCTTCCCAGCCAACTTGTTCATCAGGTAGGATTTGCCTGTACGATAAAGGCCCACGATGGCCACCACTACCACCGGCTGTGTGATGGCAGACAGAATCTTCAGAGCTTCCTGATTGACCACTAGCTGTTCCTCATTGTTCTCAATGAGGCACATGGGTTCTGACATCTGGATCTCTGGAGCCATGTCTAAAATATTTCTTTGTCTGCTGGAGAAGAAACAGGATGACCTGAAATTCCTAGAAACAGGATGACCTGAAATTCCTAGTATTTAAAGAAAGGCATTTTACCCACTGAATCCTGGAATAAATGATCTGAAAGCATTGCCTGAGTTTCTGAGATATTGAAAACTAAAAACTAAGAACTAAAAATAAGTAGCAAAGTACAATAGCTCCTGCCTGTTCACAGACCTGTAATAGCATATACTACAGCCTCTTAAGTTCTTGTTAGACTCAGGAAACCCCTATCATTAGCCTACCTACTAACAGTTTGGGTCTAGCTCATTCCATTGGCTTCCAGCTTGCTGATGTTTCCTGGCGTGTACCTACTGGTATCCTTGGATTGCTTGACTGTGACGTGTCGTGCACTCTCTTACTGAGCTATCTGACCAAAATGCACCACTTCCTTGCCACCAAGCCATAATTCTAACATATATCATTTTCAAAGACATTATACATGTTTTCTTATTAAAGTGGTACTTTCAAAAACATTTTTACATAGATATGAATGTCCTTTATTAATCCCAAACTTCAGAGCATGATCATTTTGTAATTGGCAAAATGATTGAAAAGACATCATTACTGGTAAACTGACAACTGTCTAATAAATTAGTTCAAGCTGAATGATAAAGGTAACACATGCTTTTTGGCATCACTTATCGGGGAGACAGATAGCTATCTTCCATTTTAGTACTGACTATTTAATGAAGAAGTTAAAAAGCCATGATCTTCATTGAATTCACTTTTCATTACAAAACAGTAACAAGAAAACATCTGAATGAGTTGCACGAGCTGGCCATGAAAAAGGATGGGTTTCCTTGCGGTTGTATTTAATGGTCATAAAGACACATTTCCTCCTCATGCTCAGAGCCAGGGCAGGGTAAACCATGCCTGTAACTAAGAAACTGAAACAGAAACTGTTTTGATACGAGCAGATAGTGGCAGAGTCACCACAGATGGCAGATGTCAAGCCATGGGCATTAGGGAGTACCTAGTGCAAGCCCATGCCAGGAAACAGCCTTATCTTAGTGAACTGAGAATCTAATGCCAAGTGTTTGCCCATTCTAACCAATCTCTGGTGTGATATTGCTACCCCGTATCAGTAGTTGCCTTATCTATACACAGCAGGAATTAAAATGATTTTTTGCAGACTATATAGATGTAGCTTTCAGTGATGACCTAAAGTTAGCCAAGATAAGAAAGATCACATCTGCACGTGATATGGAGGTTTAGAGGCCCTTGTAATTTTGGATGATGTCAGTAATGGAGGAAGAAACTAATTTAATTGAATCTTCAGCCTTTATAAAGAACGTTAGTACTGTGTGTCTCTAGTAATCATAGTATTTTACGTGTTAGCACCAAAGAGTGCCTGGATAGAATCCTTAATGCTTTTACTGCAGCCAAATCACGAATGTCACTGCACATTTAATGTTCTCCAGGCACATTCCAAAATTCAGTACTCTGCCTTGCATAGATCAGTGCAGGACTCAGGAATATATTCTTTGTATCTGTTAAGAGTCCCATAACTTTAAGGGAACTGGCGAGATGGTTCATCTGTTAAAAACAACAGACAACTCTTTCAGAGGATCAAGGTTTGTTTCCAAGAACCTACATGTTGGCTCACAACTGTCTGCAGCTTCAGTTTCTTCATCTGGCTTCCAAGGGCACCAGGGACCCATACACATAAAATAAAAATAATTTGTAAATTTTTAAAAATCACATTTTGGCTTTGCTGTAATTTAGACTTGATGTGCAGTCTCGGACTTGCAACTGACTAGCATTATGATGTCACTCAGCTCTTTCAGTATGCTTCTTACAAGTCAGAAGCAAACAAATCAATATCCATTTCTATCAGTAGAGAGCTGGCTAGAGTGGTGGATCAGTGGTTAAAAGCACCTGAAGTAGAAGACCTGGGTTTGGGTGAACCCACCACATCAAGTGACTCAGCTACCTGTAACACCAGTGCCAGGGGACCTGATGCTCTTCTTAGCTCTATGGACAACTGCAGAGTGGGGAGCGTGTGTGTGTGTGTGTGTGTGTGTGTGTGTGTGTGTATGTGTGTAGGGGGGACTACAGAGAAGAAAACTGCTAAGAAATCTGAGAGAACATGCTGAGGAGTTCTGGGGACAAACCTCTGAAAGAAAACAGTTCCTTGTAGATATAGTTTTAGTTCAGGGTTTGCAGGACTAAACTGAGCGCCAAAGAGGTTAAAAAACTGACTTTAAAAAAAGTGACTGCCAAGGAAAAGAAGGCCTGGAAACTTCAAGAGACCACAGCAAAGCTGAAAGCCCACTGTAGTGTCAGGAAGTGTCTCCCTGCTGTGCCTTGGAGTTTCACCTTTTCTTTGTCTTTCATTTTTGTTTTATCTTCAGCATCTTAGATATTTACATTGCAACTCAACCTTTGCTCTTCCTCATGCCAAGAAATAGTTGTCTGCTGTCCTAAAAGTCCCCCAGGTCACAGACTGAAAGGGCTGCGTCAGGTTTTTTTTTTGGGGGGGGGGAGGGGGATGATGCTTTGATCCCATTTTTATTTTTTAGCTATATTAATTTTCTAGCCCTTTCAACTTTCATTTATTTTTTAAAATTTATTTTTGATTTTACATACCAACCCCAGTTCCTCCCACTTCCCCTTCTCTGTTATGTGACTTGATCTTTTGGGGAGTGGGCCCTGACAGTGGCACCAGGACCTATCCCAGGGGCATGAACTGCCTTTTTAGAGCCCATTCCCTATGCTGGGACACCTTGCTAAGCCTTGATATAGCAGGAGGGGCTTGGTCCTGCAGCAGGTCTTAAAGGCAGAGGAATTTAAGCAATGATTGTGGATGCCAAGAAATTATAACCGAGCAATGAAAGAAAAACAGCTGGAAGACATTTCTAGCCTTCAGTTTAGTCCCTACCCAGGCTGCCTCTCATCGTCAGGAAGCAAATGGGACACTGAGTAAACCCTCGGACTGACAGATGAACAATTGTTTGTCTGCTAACACTGTGACTCAGTCTTCACACTTAGGGCTGATGCAGCATCCCAGGCTAAGATGCATTCCATCCTGGATAGAGTATTTTAAAAACTAAACCATAACAGTCTCTGCCCACCCATGCATCTCCGACCTTACCTTAACAAAAACTGAGGAGCCAAGTCAGAGGAAGAGCTGGGAAGAAAGCAGCTTCAAAGAGGACTTTGCCAGAGTGCAAACCTCTTGTCCGTTTTTAGCTGTGCTTGTTTCTCTTAAATACTGGCCAGTTCTGGGAATTCCCTTTTTCCTCCCAGCTCTCTAGCAGAGAACTTACTTATGCAATATAAAGAAAAAAACTACCATGGTTAGTTTCCAATCCTGAAAGGAAACTGAAACTACCCAAGCTCAGAGTATTCAGTTAAAAGATTTCCCTTTAACTGCATTGTCCCATGAAAGGTGTGGATACCTTGAACTGATTTCCCAGATGTTGCCCATTATTGCTGAAATAGAGAATTCTCTTTCAGAATTGACATCTTTCTTAATTATTGGGAGCATGGTTCATTTTATTCCTTTTAAATGAGAGTGATGGTATACCTGATTTAGAGGTTGGTACTTTTTGAGGGCAAACCTCACTTACTACTTGATGACTAATTTCTTGCAATTGTATCTGCATACACATAGAATAAAATTTGTATTATTGGTCGTAGGTTGACCGAGAGTCACAGGGTCTCTTTTGTGAGTTCTGAAATACCATATACAAAAGAAATAAAACCAGGCTTAAAAGGAAAGTTCAGGACCATTTTATTGGAGTTCAAAGAAAAAAGCAACAGGGTGGGGAGCAGACAGCAGCTCTCTCAGGGAACCAGAAGCGGGAGGTGGGGGTAAAACAAGAGCAAGTCATACTTTCCAGGTTAGAGGCCAAGCTGTCAAGCAGGCGCAGCAGTGAAAGTCCCTAAGCATCTGCATGGGGTGTGGACCTGCCTCCTGGTAACAGACAGGGAAGATGTTAAATCCCAAAGTTGGGTTGATCCAGGAGATGCTGACAGCCCAAGCTGGAATCAGCCTGTGAGAGACGCTGAGTAGAGGACACACTAAGCCAGACGTGGATTCTGATGAGTTTAAGAAACTGTGATATCAAAAGTGCCATTGGTTCAAGCCTGGAAGCTTTGGAAAAAGGGGGTTGGGGAAAAAACAGATCACTAATAAGAAACCATCTGACATCTAACACTGTGTGGCTATTGTCTGGGGTTTTGTAGTTTTATAACTTACCTTACATACGATGTTCCATTTAATGGTTGGCTTAGTCTGTTCAACATTTTATTTTAGAATCCTTCAAGTTTGAAGGTGCAGTAAAATATTTTGCATATATACCCAGGAATAGAATAAAATGGTCAGATAGTATGAATTTGTCCACATTATGGAAGAGGGTATAAATCATTCTGCAGTGTGATTCCCCAAGTCAGTGTTCCTGCAGCAATGAATGAGAATTCACAGTGCATCAAATATCACCATTAGGAAATGCCAGAATTCTACATTTTTATCACTCGGAGGAATTCATGGTTTTAATTGTTGGGTTTGTTTTGGTTTTTTGAGGATGAATTATAGTTAGGGAAGTAAAAACCCCTTTTCTTGTCATTGCTTTTTAGGAAATGTGTAATCAAGACACTTGGTGTTTTTTATGTTATAAAGTTTTAAACTTCACTTACAGATTAATTTAACTACATGTTCTTAGTATGAGACGTGTATACTAAAAACTGCGGTGTGCCTTTTCGTTCTCTCATTGTGTCTTAGGATGAATAGGAGGTTTTAGTGCTAATCTGACTAAACCAATGGGTTCTTTCTTGATATCTACTGCTTTTCTCTCCTATTTTCCATCTTGAAAGACCTGGAACTAATGTCAACCATTTCTGAAAATGCTTTGTCATTCACAGTTTTAAAAATCTGCAGTCCTCTTAATCAATTTCTCTGAAGGCCAGTAGTAGTAAGCTAAATTTTGTCACTCTTAAATGCAAATAACCTAACTTCACTTATTGACAAGAGCATCCTCCCTTTTAGCTGCAATGTCTTGAATCACCACATATGTCGAGTCTGCACATGTGTATTGATCTCATTATGCTCACAACCACATTATCCTGTATTAGTTTCTCTAGTCTTGGTTCCAGTTTGAAATCACTAATACAATTTGCGATGTTTTGTTTTCCCCTGTTGTTGGGGTTGGGGTTTCTATTGCTGTGATGAAATACCATGAACAAAATGCAAATTGAGGAAGAAAAGATATATGTGGTTTTCATATCCAAAGGCACAGTTCATTGAGGAAGTCAAGGTAGGAACTCAAACAGGACAGGACCCAGGAGGCAGGTTTCTGATGTAGAGGCCATGGAGGGGTGTTACCTACTGGCTTTTTCTAATGGCTTGTTTAGCCTGCTTTCCTATAGAACCCAGGACCACCCCCCAGGGATGGCCCCACCCACAATGGGCTGGGAAAAAATATGCTACAGGCTTACCTACAGCCCCATCTTTTGGAAACATTTTCTCATTTGAGAGTCTCGCCTTTCAGATGATTTTAGCTTGTATCAAGTTGACGCCTATGGATTTTATTAGTTGATTAATTTCATCTGACAGAGTCATTGGAGTTTTTTTTTTGCTGTTGTATTAAAAGTGAATATGAATGTGCACAGAAATTTCATATTAAAATAAATAAATTTTATAATCAATTTTCTAGATAGGCCTGTCTATTTCTTGACTCTTTTGAAGTCATCTGGAATTCTTATATAATTGTCTAGATACAGTTCTGAAAAAATATATAACATTTATTATGGAGTAAGTATTGAGTAAACTTCTCAAATACAACTATAACCAATGTACACATTTTACAAGTGTACAACTTCATGGATTTTCTTAACACACTATAAGAAATAAAATAAAAAGGCATCATGCCAGGGGATCCCCTCATGTCTATGTTCAGTATCTACTACTTCTGCTTTGCCCCTTCAATGAAAACAAATAACCCTGCTACAAGCATCATCCACTGAGTTCCATCTAGTGACTAGATCAGTGTTATTCAGTGTTATTATGTGAGACTTTGTCTGCCTCCTTTTCATTTAGCAGACGTGTAGTGAAGATATAGTTGGGGAATAAAGCAAACTTCATATCTTGGCTATTTTGTGTCTTTTTGCTTGTTATGACAAAATGACAATCTATGTCATATACATAATGTGTTATCAATATTCTATTTGCATTTGGTTATATGTTTCACATAGGTTATGTGTGTGTTTATTATTTTCTTGGAGCTATTAAAATAATATTTACACTTGCTTATTAATACTATTGTCAGTTGTTTTTGGCTTTGGTTTTTTATTTCTCGTCTTGTTTTTTCCTTATTTACAGAACATTCACAGCTTTCCATAGTGGGTCAGCATCAGCTCATCCTCCTATACCAGTGTCCTGTGATGCCAGGAGCTGAGTCTCTAGGGATTTCCACTGAAGCACAAAGACTCTGGTAAGAAACTTATTTTTTTCAGCTGTCAGTTTCACCCTGTGCTTATCTATGGGGTCAATGCAGCTACAAACAGAGTCCAGAATTTCTGAGTTAGATGTCCACTCACCTTCCAAAGATTCCACCCTATGGGATTCCTTTAATAGACTCCTTTTCCACGGAATCACTCTCTTCCCAAGACAGAGTAATCTCTAACTCGAGTGTAGTTTCGGAGTACATGACCTCAAAAGAAAAGGCAAATTGATGACTCATTTTGTTTTCCTATGGTGCTTGAGTGAACTCAGAGGTAGAGTCAGATACAGTCCAACTGCAGATTGAGTTGTGCAGTGTCAGTAGGATTGTAGCTGTCTTCATGAGTGTGGTAGCCCCTTGGCTTGGGGACACTAACTTAACCTGAGACAGAGTTGGACTGAGCACTTTATGGAAGCCCCACTCCCAAATGGAAAATTCCAAAACTCACAGGTGAGTACAGGAATTCAGCTGAAGGTCTAGAATGTTGGTTGTTGTTAAAGCCTTCACCATCACATTTTGAGGGAACCCATGGACTCTCACTCCTCTGCCCTTCCTCTTTCACCTAACTCCTTTCTCTCCATTGCCTTATTCTCTCACCCTTCTCTATCTTATTGTGCTTTGAAGAGCAAGAATATATTATCTGATGTGACTTTGGTTTAGGTTTCACCAGTATATATAATCATCTGTCACCCCCTGCCCCTGTCCCATGACTACATGTATGGAAGAGATTCTATAAACACAAGCACAAACCCTCTTCATCAAGAATTGTCAGATCATGTTTTAAAATAACAAGCTTCTGGTTTTGCTTTTGTTATCCTGTTTTTCCAATAGCTCTTCTGTGACAGGTGATGGGAACGCTGTGTTAGGACACGAGCAACTGAAAAGAGTGGCCACCCTGACTTTGAAAGCCCTTATGGAGGACAAGGGTACAGTTGACAGTGAGCAGACGTAGTTGATGGCTCCAAGCATTTGGCCAAGTTCCCAGCCAGTGACCCTGTCCATGCCATGAGATTTTCTAGAGTAGGACCTACAGATTGTACCTGTATAAGGAAGTGTAGAACAATAGTCTTCAAAGGTACCCTGGCATGTAGATATATGGCTTAGCAGGTAAAGTGTTTGCCATGTAAGAATGAGGACCTGAGTTCATATCCCCAGAGCCCATGTAGAAGCCACATGCTCTGCTGTGCATCTGTCATCCCAGCATCTCTAACATCAAAACAGGGAGCAAATAGGATCACCTCAGAAACTTGGGGGGGCCACTAGCATAGCTTAGGAAACAGAAAGCAACTGAAGAGGGACCCTGCCATAAGGTGAGATGCTACCCTCCCACATGAGTGTGTCTCACACGTGGCTACACTTACACACATTAACATGCATACATACACATCAACATTCTTACACACACATACATAACCAGAGAGAGAGAGAGACCAGACATTTACACAAGATAGAAATATACCACAGCGTTAAGTCGATTAATTGCCTGTGGACTTTAATTTTGTAGTTGGCTCTCTCTAGATTCTTTAAAAGAAAACAATCATGTTTCCATTCTGCAATCGGAGAAAAGCAGCCGAATTCCTAGAAATGGCCAAGTTAGAGAATTTCAGTTGCTTTTAGTTTCTATGAGAATTATATTTCAGGAAATGCCTTCACAAAGAGCTTTGCTTTGGCGCAAGAGTTCATTTTCCTTCTGAGAGAACAATCCTGCCAAGCTGCTTGAGAACACAGCTC